ATATGTATGTATAACTATATATAAATGCATACCTATAGAGTATATATAAATATGTGTACATACTTTTTTTTAATCCTGTGGGCTCTGCCCCACTAGATGTTATGGGCTACCTCAATGGGAAATCCTAGCAGTTAGACCTTAAATTTATTTGTTTTCACTAGATGGATAATAGCTAATATTTTACATAAAGAAGATATTTCTAGTTTCCTCTTGCCTTCAGAAAGTGGGCCCATGGTGAGTAACAATTACCTTTTGACTTCCAGGGAAAAAGGTTTTTTATCCTGTGGTATTCAGCCTTTATAATCCTGCTATTGTATATGCCAACCAAGATATACCACCCCCCGTGGAGCAACAGTTGGTAAGCAGCGTGATTTATTCTGGATAGAATTAGTTGTGCTTTGTATTAAAACAAAATTAAGTGTAACTTAATAGTCTGTTTGGGATATCATATGACCTTTGGCAGTGTGTATCTGAACACTTTTTTCCATTATGGGCAAAGCACTTGGAAGAAAAGCTTATCAAAACCAGTACAAGACTCATTCTTAGATAAACTTGGAGTTCTACCTAGATTTAAAAAAAAAGTACTATTAATCAAGTGAAGTTGGTAGTTCTGATCTATTGCTTAATTCTGACTTGGACAGTCAGTATTTTAGGAAGATAGTGGCATAACATGGTGGCAACTTTTGTCTTATGTTCCAACCAAGAAGTGGTGAAAGGCAAAAAAAGTATGAACGGTGCTTGATAAGTTTCCCTCAGTATTGACTCCCTTTGCTAACTACAAATGGTAGTTGCAGGAAGTGTGCCATGTAACTCTAGGTGAGCTAAGACGTTCAGTCAGTTGCTTTTTTCGTGCTGTGGACAGCTCTACTCTGTGCAGATTGTTTCTTTACCTTTGCCATCCAACATCTGCCAGAATCATTAGCTGTTATACTGATAATTTCATCTTGCTTTTGGAATGAGAAACACTGCTTGGTAGGGAAGCTTGCAGTCAAAATAATAAACAAATAAATGCCACAAACATTCAAGAGAATAGGTTTAAGGATAATTGGGAGCTCAGTGGAAAGAAGGAAGTACTATATTTCTGGGTCTGTTGCCTGAAGATAGAATGGCCACAGTCAATGTCCAGCCTGACTCTCTTTCAAGAGACTACATAAATGGAAATGGGTTTTGCAGCTGGGCCTTCTGAGGTAGACAGGTTTGGAGGAGAGAAAGGAGAGTGCAACACAGCCTTACTAAAAGAACAGAAAAACATAGTAACCCTCATGCCCTGTGTTGTTTGCAAGGATCCTTCTGAAAGTAGGAGGGAAGCTTTTGCATATGGTCTCAGATAGTCACAGCTGAGAGGGGAGTCAGCTCCTGCCTGACAACTCTGCTGTTTACTTTTTTGAATCGAACAACTTTACGATTGCCGACTTCAATCACAAACTTAGTTCTCTTGTCATATCAGAACAAGAAGAGACAAATGTGGCCTTAGAAACTGCGTAGGAGTTGGAGTATCAGAAAGAGATGATTTGACAATAGACTACCAAAAATTTACTGCTTGATCTGAGCAGATACATAGAAAATAGACGTGGTGTGGTAGAAAGGTAAATGTGGTAACTGCAATGAGAGTATTTGGAATCAGATGGCAAAGGGTGAAGTAGACAGCAGGTAATTAGGAAGCCCACATCGGTGCATGACACAGAAATACTAGGAGTGTTATATGCTGTATCCCACACTGAGTAAATGAGCAGAAGAGCTTAGCTTTCTATGAAACCAAGTGCAATGTACCTCCTTCGGTGTATTTTGCATTTCAAAATGATACTGTTTTAAAATTGCAGGTACACAAGAAGGATTCTGGTTTCTGGCGGGATTTTGGCTTTGGGATGACTTGTCAATATCGGACAGACTTTCTGACTGTTGGTAAGATGAAACTAAAAAAAAAATAATTTGTATGTTTAAAAATTGATTCTCTGTCCTTATCTAATGAGAGGAAAGTAATGCATTTATTTCTTTTATTATTTTCCCAAGCCCAGCAGTCAGACTTGCTTGACAAGTTTGACTAATGAGATAAATTAGCTTTTCTAGATTTTGATATCCCATCTGATAAATGTTTGTTAAAAGTCACAGTATTTTTACTAGCAACATTTCACTCTAGAACTTCTAAAAAATCTTTCTTTTTTTGTACTCTGTGACTGTCTGAAGCAAATTAATCAAGTTTAAGAAACACATGCCTCAAGTAAACTGCTAACATAGACAAGAAGCATTCAAATTCTTTCTTTTAAATAACCTTGAGTAGTTGAAAATACTGTTCGCAGCTTTAGAAATATGCTTTGGCACCCCCTTCTGGCTTGCTTTTAAAACTGAGAACAGCTGATGTGCTTAAACTTGGAAGACGATCTTCAAGATAGTCTGCCAGAAGAAACTTGGAAGACCATCTTCAAGATAGTCTGCCAGAAGGCGTAATGATGTAGCTCTATGCACTCTATAATGGTTTGAATACAGGCTGATTTCTAATAGCTGTCATATTGCCACGTGCATGGTATATGCTAAATGAAGACTTCATAATTCTAGAGTTTTGAAATTGTGCATGAGTCTGGGTTGATTTTCTCTGTGGTCCTGGAAAGGCAAGAGAACTTAAAATGGTGGAATATGTTCCTTTCCTTAATCCAGCTTTTTGAGTTGTGACCTATGGAGTAATTGCTGGCATTTTTAAAGAGGACTTTTCATATGGTGCATGACTGCTTCATTTTCCAGCTGCTAAAATCCATTATGGCTGCTAGAAATAACCCAAAAGCATAGCCAGGGAGGTTTGCCTACAGTTTTCTGCAGCTGTCACATAATGTGATTTGGAGACACTGTTCTAAGAGACTTTCTGAAGCCAGCAGTGCATGATCTGTGTCCTGGGCAGTTTCCACTGCAAAGGATGTGGTATGCTTGAAGTTCCTCTCCCTCAATTTGGCATGCTTTGGCATGGAGAACTCCAAGTTAATAGCTCCAGAGTTTCTGGTATGTTGTACCAGATTTGGTATGTTACACAGGAAGCGTTGCTCTTTTTGCCTTGCGTCTAGTCTGTGTGCCAAAATAATGTTTTCTGATATTGTTTTCATAGGGGGTTTTGACTTGGAAGTGAAAGGCTGGGGCGGTGAGGATGTTCACCTTTATAGAAAATACTTGCACGGTGACCTTATTGTGATCAGGACACCGGTCCCTGGCCTGTTTCACCTCTGGCACGAGAAACATTGTGCAGATGAACTCACTCCAGAGCAGTATCGCATGTGTATCCAGTCCAAAGCCATGAACGAGGCCTCTCACTCGCACCTTGGGATGCTGGTCTTCAGGGAGGAGATCGAGACTCACCTCCGTAAGCAGGCTTACAGGACTAACAGTGAAGCAGTGGGTTAAATGTCACCCCTGTGATATTTGATGACTTCAAATTCACACTGAACCAGCATCATTTTACGGCCTTAATTCAGCTTAAAAATGCAGTGCCTCTCTTTTTCAGTGAAGAAGAGTTTAGAGGGTTTTTGATTCTTGTATTTGTTTTCTGAGTAATTCTTTGACTGATATGCTATTACCTACGTATCTTGCAAGTTCAAGCACCTCAAATAAATTGGAAAGTGTATGTAGTTCAAGGAAATTGTCTTCAGTATCGATTGGAAAAATCAGTGGAATGTACAACTCAACACTTTTCTACATGGTAAATTTCAATTCTTATATTTGCATTATTTTAAGAATTAAATTTAATAATCTTTTGTGTTGTCTTGAGTATTTTCAGTCTGTATGGCTCACTGCACTGTGACTTTAGAAAGATACTATATTTACACTCCATTGTAGACACAAGAGAGAAGTGTGAAAAAGAATCTCACCGTGAAAGGTATGGGGGAGATGCTGACTGGTACGCCACCTGTTCAGGTTGCTGATTTCACAGGGAGGGCTTGGGTGCCGCATTTGCTGTACTAACAGACATTCACATGGTTGAATATATAGAATAATTCACATGAAGCGGGGAATGAAAAACTTTTTAAGTGGAATTTTAGAGCATATAATGTAATTTCACACTGCAAAAGAGACACTACCTTCTTATCTCCGTGATGGATCAGACATGTTGGGAATGTTCCAGTTGGGTGTTTCTGGGTCTGATCTTTTCCCACAGTAGATGCCACATCACAGAATCCCTTCTATAAACTGAGCTATGCTATTAAACTAATTTGTTTAAAGATTTTTGGCCCCACTCCTCGTTATTGAAAGGCCCTGCCTGTACCTCTCATCCTTTAAGTTCAGGAACCATCTTTTCATTCCCATATAAATTTATTAGAGGCCCATTTGCTATTATGCCGATACTATCCTTTTGCTTTCTTTTTCTGGCATTGTCCTGATGTTTTTGGAAGGCTGTTTCACTGGCTGAAAAAGCAAGTGCTATTACAGTCTTTCTTCATACAATGCTCTCCATTCCACAGATTATCCTAGTAGCCTTATTCTTCACTTTTTCAGTTTGAGGGTGCTTTAGGATTTGGGGGTTTTTTCTCTTTTTTTTTGTTGTTTTTTTGAGCATGCATAAGCAGAATTATGCTCCGGTCTCATTAGTGCCTTGTACAGTGGCACTACTACTTTGCTACTTCCCTTTTGGGTATTTTGAGATGCATAAACAGTTAAAATGCAGGCAGGCCGTTTTTCTCCATGTCGTCTTATATGCTACCGTATGGCATGCCTCATTTTTAATACAATTGTTTATAGAATGAATGCTGAGAATGCTAATTCAGTGGTTAAACCATTTGCATGGTCTCCACTGAATTTAGAAATTAGTTGAAAACCCTTCTCAAACCAGGTAATTAAGATCTGTTTATGAATTCAGCTTGCTTCAAAAATTCTGAAGGCAACTAAAGATTTAAATGGTTGATTTCTGAATAGCAGATATGCTGTGCAAATAGTTCTGGGCACTGATCCTTTTTATATGTACATAAAATTTGCCTTTATGTAACTTATTGTGGAGAACAGTGTACTGTATTGTACTTAGAGTGAAGAGAATGCATTGCAAGGCTTCTTGCAATTGATATTCTCGATATAATAAATGGAATTTCTGCATTTTAGAAATTGTTTTAAGCTGTTTCTTTGAAATAAGTTTTAACAATAATATTTACAAGGCAGATGACATGCTGGATTCAAGTAATAGTATTTGCAGTGAGAAGTTCAACCAGCTCATTTTTGCATCTCAAGTGAGTATCTACCCAGACCAGACACGAAAGTGCAGAGTTAGTTCCCCAGACAACTTAAACTTATAGCAGATGTTATCTTAAGATAACTTGGTGGTTCCTAACAAAAATGATAAGGTACCAGTGAGGAAAAGGTTGAATACACAGGCGTGATGATTTGGGGTAAAGATATAAGTGGGGCCTTCTACTGAGACTCCAGCCCTTAAACCTTCAGCTGCTCCTGGCTCTGCTGCACAAGAATAAGCCTCAAAAAGGTCTCTCGCTGACACCACCACTGCCTGGCATGCACTGGAATGGATACTGAGGTAGTTCAGAGGTGTTAAGCATTGCTGCAGCTCAGCTCTTATCACTCAGCCACTACCCCAGAAGGATCCGGTTGTCCCAGTTTCTATATTTTGGAAACAGAGCAGACTGTTGATGCTGATAGCCAGATCTCTTACCTTCTGCTATTTTCCCCTGGGTGGTTGTGCTTATCAGCAATGGCAAGGAAGGAGAACAGCGTCAACTGTGTCCGCATCAGTGTGATCAAAAACTATGATGTCTGTGGTGTTGATGCTGGAAGGCAATCAAGGAAGTGTGGAGCTGAATGCAGTCAACAGGGACCACTTTTCAAAACCTTTTTTCCATTCGTCATCCCAAAATTCGGAAGTGAATGCATTGGAGTTAATCGGACGTCAGAACTCTTACGCATAGTTAATATCAAGGTTGGGTATTGACACAAGTAGTCTGAATGACTGATTATTTGAGGACTCCTGAACTTTCAGGGGCCCTTGCAGGCCTGGTTTTTCTCTTGTCTTAGTTCAGCTCCCTACAACTGCTTGTGTAAGAACATATTGCTATGGAAAACATCAGCTGGGCATCTCATTAGGAGCGCAGGCAACCATCACGTACTGCACGTGTTACAAAAGCCACAGATACTGGTATGGGCTATGTGCTGTGTTGAGTCGATGCCCAATGGTGGTAACATGGAATCTCCTCGGATGCATTTTGCTGCTGGGCGGTACTGGATTCGGGATGCTTACCTCACCACATGCATCTGTGGGGAAGATGGTTTTACTGCTAACGGTCAATCTGTAGAACATTTACAGCAGGAAAGTACTCAGCTCTAATGGTGCTTTACAGGTTGGGGGGTAGCTTATTAGCAACTTTGACATTGGAAATCAAATCAGTTACTTAAATTAAAAGGTGTTATTCATGATTTAAAATTTGCACTTCCAGGGAATTACTACTAATCATGTACAGTTCGTGTTCCCTAATGACTTACCATTTTACCTACTCATTTGTCTCTCAATTATTATATAATTAGATTTAAAATTCTAAATAACTAGCTTAGACTTACAGCTTTTAATTAAATCTTAAAATTTATTTTTTATTATAATTCTCAAGTGTTTTAACTTTTGGTTTTGGGCTAGGCTACAAGCTTTGACTATTTAGTTCAAAAAAGATAGCTAAAATTCTTACTTTGGATAATGATTGTCCATCAATTGATTAATAGGTATTTTTTCAAAATAAGATGCAATGTTTTCCTCTAAGCAAGGCTCTTGCTGAACTGAGTTAACTGATCATTATTACACAGATGGATTATTTTGTCTATTTTAATAGGGATTCCCCAGAAGAGGACAGGATGCTTTATATATCCCTAGTAATTCCAAAATAGATAGAGAAAAGGTTGAGTCCTACAGATTGCAGAGAGAATTCTGTTCAGTGTACTGTTCCAAAAGTTACTCAGATTTATACAAATACATAAGATCACCACATGGCGACTGCTTTCCTAGTCCTGTTCTGCTTTTCATCATTCTTTCGGAGTTTTTCTGGCCAAAAGTCCTCTGGAAGTGCTTCACTTCTTGCTTCTCTGCCATAATCTCAGGGAAAGGCATGGATAGAGCCCATTTCAGGACTCGAATTTTGCAGTTGTTGACGGTTATTGCTGCATTACCCCAAGCTCAAGTGTCTTCTGCGTGGCTGCAGATGGCAGCGATGCTTTCATTATGCTCCTGAGCACTTAACACAAAGCTGAGTCCCTGACCAGCATTGGTCAGGAAAATGTGTGAATCTGGAGAGCAGTTTGTTTTCCCCAAGTCCTTAGCAGACCTAAAAGAAATTACATGTGCTGTATAAATACATTATATCCTGAAAACGTGTATGGCTCTTTTCTTCACCTCTTTAAATCTCACATCATGTTTCTTGTACTGTGTTTCTTCTTTCTCTGTGTGCTACCTTCCTTATTAACCCAGTCTATTTTTCCTTTGGTGTGGCTCCTCTTATTTCTTCCGACTCTGTGCCTTAAAGCCCCTTCAGCCTTTTATAGGCTCCAGTCCTGGCTCTCTGATGGTGCAGGAGCCGTTGGGGATCCCAGCTGACCGAGCTGCGGTGGGGAGGAGCGGTGATGCCTGGTAAGGGAAAGCCCAGCAGCCGGACCCTGCGATCAGGACGGGAGCTGCCAGGCAGTGCAGGAGCTGCTCTCTGTCATTCACCAGCTCTGAGAACTAGCTTTAAACCAAAAAAGACTCTGTTTATGACCTCTGTACTGCAGATGAGGCTTTTTCTTATTTCTGTATTTGTCATAATATTTCATGCTGAAATACAGTAAACTAACAGCAACATGAAGTTCATGGCAAAGAACGGTAATTTAAGACCATTACTTATACCCAATGTTTGATTGCACACCATTGCTTCTGCTCTGTAACGGAACTAGAACAGAAATAGTAGGATATGCCTTTATTATAAAGTGAGTTTACAAGCAATTTCAGTTACCTGAGTGTATTGAATCTCTGATTACATTTTGGCATAGCCATGCTGTGATACGGGTGCACATGTTTGTGTGCAGCTGTTTCCCAGTTACTGCTGCGTGCTGTAATGCAGGGCAGGTTTGCTCTTTCCCAGTGAACGTGCAGCTTTTCCTTGGAGGTGTTTCCTTACCTCATCCAAGAAAGGGAGGAAATTAGTCATGTTTCAAATATGAAAATCTCTCACTTGAATAATGAAATCTATGCAGCGTGTTGCTTTAGGCATGAATCTGTCTAAATGGCTGAAAAATGTCAGCTAAGTCTCTAGTCTCCAGCTTGGAACTGCCGGCGGGGGACCAGAGAGAGAACGTTATTAGCGTGTGGATCCACAGCCGGGTGTTGCACCTCGGGCTGCAGCCCGTGCACGGAGCGCGGCTGCCGGGAACGCGGCGGCTGAAGGCTGCAA